ATGAACCTCATTCACGTTGCATGGCTTCAAGTCATGCCTCTCGTACGCATGGATGACAACCAGCTATTGCATAACGGACGAGACTTAGTATGAGCATCAAGGCTTACAAATAAAAATCACTCATGGTAAACATTGGTGGCACCAGGAGATAGTACTTCTCTACGCGCAGCGGTTAGTGTATTACAATTATTTGCAAAGTTAAAATTCTGCTCATTTCCATAAGTACATTTTAATGCGCGGTGTCTACAGTGAGATAAATGTATAAACTGAGCATGAAGTATGATTGCATTAAAGATTAGCATAGGTTCAGTTCTCAAGGTAGACCGCGACTCTTGATTGTTTCGTACAAACTCCACAACTCCCTCCACCAATGCCCATGTCAATGGCCTCTGTCCCTCCACCAGATTGAATGTGGTGGCAAAGCAGCCCCCAAACAATGAAAATTGCAAGCATACTATCGGTTTAATGGAGTATATCCATACAATACATGGATGAAGTTCAGCTAATGCTGCTCTGTGAATCATGTCTTCTCAAATTCCATCAGCTCGCACTGGCTTTTTCATGAAAGTGCACGCCGAAAAGTGAGTCGGAAGTCGAGGACTCAAGGATTGAGATACACTTGTTTATTTCGAATGAAATGTGAGACTGGTGCGGAGAAGACGGTCTCAAAGGACCATAGTGGATATAAGTCACTTTTTATAATGATGCAGGAGTACCTAGTATGGGTCTATTTTTCGCTTCAATCATATCAATAACTCTTCGTTGTTCTCCTCTGGCATTGTGATGTAGCAGCTTTTGTACTTCTCAGCGACTTTTGCCTCAATCTGCTGACAATTGTACTGGTTTAGGGCTTGTCGAACACCCTCTAGCGTCACTCGCTCGTCGTCGTAAGTTGCTGTACCCATCACCATTTTTTTCCCATCAAACTGTTTGGCGATGGTCCAGATCTTTTCCACATTGCAACCTCCACTCAACCCCGTTTCTTCTAAAATCTTTTCAATCTATTAACAGAAGACCAATGTTTTACTAGCACACTTCTTCATATGTAAAGAATGATCACAATGAGAAAAGCCACACTAGAATTCTCGCTAGGCCAAAGTCTTGAGGTGATCACACTCGTAAAAACAAGATGTGCTTGATAACTCTTTCTTCATCAACCAGATGGTAAGGAAAAATTTTAGACGAAAGGTTCCTGTCACTCCATGAACGGTTGCTGTTTTAATTTAATGGCTGAAAAACTGGACCAATGGTTATGAAAATTGACTACAATGCTTGCAAGCCATGGAAGCCATAATAACTGTAACACCCACAAGTAAAACGTAAGCAATACCTTGGGGTTAAAATTAAGGCAACTCTATCTGAGCCTCCAGTGTAGTGGACTAAAGAGCAAAATACATTATTGGAAGGGATTGTAAACGAATATAAGCATTTGGCAATCAGCTAAATGAATTAGATTCTTGTCACTAATCGTTATAGTAGTAAAATGCATTACGTTATTCCTTTGTAATGTCTTTTTGATTGTTTAGCTTCAAGGAGAAAGAACTCAGCTATTTATTGTTCCAGTAAATCGAGGAAGTAATAGCTCCTTGGCTGCCCAGAAAAAAAGCACTACTGTCTTACTTGAATGCCCAACTGCACGTGTCTCAGCTAAGTATGGTAGTGCGCAGAGGCGTCGCTGGGTCTGCGTAATGTAACCAAAAGGGTTTACGTTCACAAAAAAAAGCGTGGTCTTACATAAACATTTCCTCAAAAGAGTGTTTGTTTACTGCAAGCATGCAAAAAGACATGCACCGAATGGAGAGATGGGTAGAAACGCACAGCGATTTTATTGTAGTAGCAGGAGCAGGGTAATAATTTCATCGCTACAGAGTGCAGTTTGTGCGGGGCGTGTGGTAAAGAATGCTTGCATACGGACACAGATGGCGAATGAGGACAACTGATATCAGCATCGTGTCTGCCCCTCCTATGCGATCGCTGAGTGGGTGCAGCAGAACTGCAACCATGAAGTAGTGATGTTGGTCACTACTTTTAAACGGACTAAGAGCCCGCCACTTCATTAACCACGTTGGACTGCTTTCATCGTGTCTCCTAATAATCTTGCACCGATCATATAAATGGAACAGTGGAACATTAGAAGTATATTCATGAATGTGAAAGCAATGAGCAAAGCTAAAATGGTACTAAATGAATCAATTTTCAATAGGCAAAGATAAATACTTCCTTTTCGACACAGGATTGACAATTTCAGTGACAGTTATTAACTGTTAGTATAAACATGGCCAAAGGTTGAGCAACCTGCCTCTTCTTTGGTTCGCAGAACAAGCATCCGCCTTTTGCAACTGCCGTATCGTCCAAGGAGGGGCGTGCATAGAGAACTGTGGCCAGCCGGTGCACAGACCTCCCGCTTTATCCCATTTTTGCATGACTAAAATTAGAAAATGTACAGACTCAAAAGAATGGTTAAGAAAGTAGAAAGTATAAAAGCATCTTGAGTGGAACCACGGCTAAAATACTAGATGCAAAAAACCATATTCATTTCTGAAGTGAACAGGCGTTTGAAAGTGTTTACTCAAACATTGAGCATTCACCTACATCTGCATTGTGTTTACTTTTGACCAGTGACTGCTTGACCCTTCGTAAACACTATGTCAAATGCGAACTTGGCTTTCCAAGTGCGGTCACGTTGCCACATTTTTAAAATGGGATTGCATTAAATTCAATTAGGTTGATCGCTGTGCAAAAAGTTCATGTTTAGATGCATCGTCGGTCGAAACCCAAATTTATTACTTATATTTCATTATTTATCACAACCACGTTATTGGGTGCAACAAGGGTCACAGAGTCTTGAAATTTCCTTTCAGACACCGCAATGCACACCCGTATTTGTAAAGCGATTTCG